CGAATTAAGTACAAAGACTAATCGTTCGCGAACGTGCAAATCACCAGAAGTCGTTCTCGAACCGGTGAACGAATCAGTGAACGAATCTTTCAAGTGAACTGAATCAAAAGATTCGTGTCCCCGAAGGGAATCGGAATTCCCATCACTAGTCAGACGAGACATATACCACGTGATGACACGTTAGGCTTGTGTTGTGTTCAAGGACCCTGACCTTGGCCAGGAAAAACAGGCACTCACTTGTTTATTTATTTTGCGGTCTAGATTTCTTTAATTTTTTTCTTTTTTGTGTGTGTTTATAAATTACCTCGAGGGCCACACCAAATGGTCTCGCGGGCAGTATACGGCCCGGGGGCCGGAGGTTCCCCACCCCTGATCTAAAGCAATATTGGTAAATGATTTAATATCAGATTATAATATTGATTTGCTGTCTCACTGAAACTTGGTTGAGACATAAAGAATATGTCTTCATGTCTCAACCAAGTTCAGGCCTAAGTATACAAGTCACGGCTCGCCACTGGTCAGCATAAATGAGGCCACTCCACCCAGCCATATCAATACTCATATTGCCCGAGGCACAGGCCGAGGAGGTGGAGTTGCAGCAATCTTTGACTCAAGTTTACTTATCAATACTAAACCAAAATTAAATTATACCTCCTTTGAAAGCCTCGTTTTTAGTCTTACGCATCCGACCTGGAACACTTTGCAGCCAATCTTATTTGTTACAGTGTACCGTGCACCAGGTCCTTATTCAGAATTTTTATCAGAATTCTAGAAGTAATTATCGTAGGTGACTTCAATATTCATGTTGACGACGATAAAAATAGCCTTACTGTTGCATTTAACATTAGATTCTATTGGTTTCCGTCAGAGTGTAAATAAACAACCCACTGTTATAATCACACTCTCGACCTTGTTCTGATTTATGGTATTGAAATTGAGCAACTATTAGTCGAACCATAATCCTGCTTTATCCAACAATTTCTTGGTAACTTTTGATGGAAGCCTACTGTTACTTACTATACTACAAACCATTAGTCAAAAGCTCCTGCAGCAGAAACCTATCTGTTAGTGCTATAGCCAAATTTAAGGAAGAGATTCCACCAATACTTAACTCGATAGCATGTCTGCATGTAAGGGAGGAAACTTATACAAAATGTACACCACCCCAAATTGATCATGTTATTGATAGTGCTACAGATGCCCTGCGAATAAAATTAGACTCTGTTGCTCCTTTGAAAAAGAAGAAAATAAAACAACATAGATTAGGTCCATGGCACAATGCCGAAACCCCCAAAATAAAGCAAAAATCGAGACAACTTGAAAGGATATGGCGTTCAACTAAACTTGAAGAATCTTGTTTAATTTGGCATATTACTCTCAATTAATATAAGAAAGCACTGCGTAAAGCGAGAGCAGCTTACTCTTCATTAATAGATGAGAATAAGAATAATGCAAGATTTCTTTTCAGCACTGTAGCCAGGCTGACAGAGAGCCACAGCTCGATTGAGCCTTCTATTCCGATAGCACTCAGTAGTAATGATTTTATGTGCTTTTTTAATGATAAAATTGTTACTCTTAGAAACAAAATTAAAGACCTCTTGCCTTTGACCAGTATAGTGTTATCAACAGCTCCCGGAAACGTAAGTCAATTAGAATGCTTTTCAGCCATAAACCTTGAACAATTTAATTTAATGATTCTTTCTTCCAAACCATCAACGCGTATCTTAGACCCAATTCCAACTAAGCTGTTAAAGGAAGTTTTTCCATTAATTAGCACTTCTTTATTAAATATTATGATTATGTCTTTATTATCAGGCTATGTTCCACAATCATTCAAAGTAGCAGTGATAAAACCTCTTCTTAAAAAGCACAACCTCGATCCATAGGTTTGAGCCAACTATAGACCTATTTCTAATCTTCGTTCCTCTCAAAAATTCTTGAAAAAGCAGTCGCAAAACAGTTGTGTGATTACTTAAAAAACAATGATTTATTTGAAGATTTTCAGTCTGGCTTTAGAACACATCATAGCACAGAGACAGCTCTGGTTAAAGTCACAAATGACCTTCTAATAGCCTCAGACAAAGGACATGTCTCTATTCTTGTCTTGCTCGATCTCAGTGCTGCATTTGATACTATCGGCCATGATATCCTATTGCAAAGACTAGAGCACTTAGTTGGCATAAAGGGAACTGCTTTAGGCTGGTTTAGGTCCTATCTATCTGAACTCTCTCAGTTTGTACGTGTCAACGATGAATCTTCCATGCAAACCAAAGTTAGCCATGGAGTGCCACAGGGCTCAGTGCTTGGACCTATTTTGTTCACATTATATATGCTTCCGTAAGGCAATATTATAAGGAATCACTCTGTACATTTTCATTGTTATGCGGATGATACTCAACTATATTTACCCATCAAGCCTGATGAATCCAATCATCTAAATAAAATTCAAGACTGCCTCAAGGACTTAAAAACGTGGATGACCTTACATTTTTTGATGTTAAAGGTCCCATGTCATGCTTTTCTGGTTATTACCCGTCCCCTTGTGTGTTATGAAGGTTTTTATGCATGTAAACGGTCTGCAGAGTCAAAAACCCTCAAAGTACACCCTGTAGCGAGTAAAACTCTAACACAGAAAAGACCTCCCCAAAACGCCTCGTTGGAGATTTCATGTTTACTTCCTGGGTATCGCTACGTAGGGATACCCAGTAGCCACGCCCAGAGCTATGGCTGCACCCTCTGCCAACCTTTCACGAAACAAACCTTCCCAAACAAGGTATCTACCACGACTGTTTAAATGGGTAAAAGTTTTTTGGGCTACTACGTTGGGATCGCGGAGAAATGCTCTCTCTTTCATCTACGCAACATTGCAAAAATCAGGCATATCTTGCCTCAAAACGATGCAGAGAAACTAGTCCATGCATTTGTTACTTCAAAAAGTCAGTTAAATCGCTTCAGCTAATTCAAAATGCTGCAGCACGTGTACTAACCAGAGTCCGGAAAGATACCACATCATTCCAGTTTTGGCTGCCTTACACTGGCTCCCTATAGAACACAGGATATCATTTAAAATTCTTCTTCTCCCCTACAAAGCCCTTAATGGGCAGGCGCCATCTTACCTTAAAGAACTTATTATACCCTACTTTCGTACTAGGGCATTGCGTTCCAAGAATGCACGGTTGTTGGTTGTTCCTAGAGTCTCTAAAAGTACAATGGGAGCCAGAGCCTTTTCTTATCAAGCTCCACTTTTGTGGAATCAGCTTCCAGTTTGTGTTCGGGCGGCAGACAGCCTATCCGTTTTTAAGAGTACGCTTAAGACCTTCCTTTTTGATAAAGCTTATAGTTGATAAAATAATCTAATAAGAGTGCATTGAAGTAGACACGTTGTGCCTCTTCACCTATACATTTTAGTTCTTAACCAAATGACATACCATCAGTAAGGAAAAATAGTTTGTGTGTAGACGGTGGAAGCAGGGAGAGGCATATACGTGCCTTGATCCCTGCCGAGTCGACGCACAACTGTTGATTGGTGTCAGTGCCAAAAAAAAAAATTTGGAGCAATGCGCTCATGGTATAGATGTGGCGCATACATCTTAGTTCCTACTCTTTTCCCTCAACATATCCTAAGGGAGTACGTGTACGTAGACACGTTGTGCCTCTCCACCTCTGTTCCTTACTTCTTACTGGCTACCCTTTCCCTAAACCTATCCTAAGGGAGTGCATGTACGTTGTGCCTCTCCACCTCTGTTCCTTACTTCTTACTTGCTACCCCTTTCCCTCAACCTATCCTAAGGGAGTGCATGTACGTAGACACGTTAGTTTAGCTGCTATAGGCTGAGACTGTCGAGGGACACCTTACTTCTTCCTTCTGTCTGTCTGCATTGAAGTAGACACGTTGTGCCTCTTCACCTATACATTTTAGTTCTTAACCAAATGACATACCATCAGTAAGGAAAAATAGTTTGTGTGTAGACGGTGGAAGCAGGGAGAGGCATATACGTGCCTTGATCCCTGTACTCTCATGTTCCGAATAACCCAGCTACCCCCAAATTTCTTCTTGGTGTTTATCTACGCCGGGATCCTGAGTCGTGGCTGATCCTGTTGCTGCGGTCCTGTGTCCTGGATCCTGAATCATGTGTCCTGGATCCGGAGTCCTGGATCCTTAGTCCTGAGTCCTGGATCCTGTGTCCTGGATCCTCTATCCTGAGTTCTGGATTTGAGTCCTGGACTTCGAGTCGTGGCTGAACCAGGCACTGTGGTCCTGCCTGACTCTCATCATACTACTTCCCTGATGGCTCCCACAGGATTGTTGACATCCTCGTGGATTCATCCTCTTATTATAGACATGCCTTTCCAAACATTTGGTCTACCTACGCTGTAAAATGTATTATCTCTTCGATTTACACACGGCATCTATTGCACGTCTATCCGTCCTGGGAGAGGGATCCCTCCTCTATTGCTCTCCCATTTTCCCCTTTAAACTGTGGGTTTTTTCTCTGGAACTTTTTCCTTGTACGATGTGAGGGTTAAAGGACAGAGGGTGTCGTATTGTCATACTGATATTCTGTACAAACTGTGAAGTCCACTGAAACAAATGTAACATTTGTGATATTGGGCTATATAAATAAATTGATTGATTGATTATCTTTTTTCGTCTGCCTTTTATCTGTACTACCTTTGTTGCTGTAACACCATCAATGTCCCAGCTGCTGGACAAATAAAAGGAATTTTGATTCTGAATAACTACTTGTTGTCCAGGGTTTGAACACCCGGACCTTCGTATGGTGGATGACCACTCTTCCTACTGAGCCCCAGCCGCTCTCACGTCCTGAGGTTAAGTTACAGTGGTCTTGACCTTTGACCACCAAAATCTAGGTTGTTACCTCTTGAGCCAAAGTGGGCGTTTGTGCTAAATTTGAAAAAAATCCCTCAAGATGGTTCCTGAGATAGGAATGGTACAGACGGCCTGATAAAAACACTTCAGAGTATGATGTTGTACTCACGTATTGTTCCTTTTTGTGAACACTACGCTGCTGCCTCTCCTGCTGCTGCTTCGCCTCCAAATCAAAGCTGTACTCGCGGACGGTGAACCTGTGTGGATCATAGGCTACACCATGGTAAGTGACACCTACAACACAGCTTTGACATGATGCAATATTATCTGGCTATCCATCCTGCTTACTTGCTCTCCTGGGCTTTGGCTTTGAATTCACACACAGCTCTTTTGAAGAGTGTAACGGAGAAAACGCCTCCCTCTCCATCCTCGTACAGCTTCCTGATGTTCACACAAAATAAATAAACCCTGCTTTACTGTGCATCTTATTCTAAATAAGATCATACAATATAAATAAATAACATTATTCTGTATTGGAGAAGACTTAATAGAAGCAATTGAGAACATAAACTCGTCGGGAACATGTTATCTTCGCTATTAATAAAGAAAGTGATACATTGGGAAATGTTCTCATAGACTTCTACAAAACTTATTTTTGTGAAGTCGCCCGCTGCTAGTTATTAGAGAGAATGCAGGTTTACAGCACTTCCTCATATGCTCATATATTTTCAAAGCAACTATTATAGAAATAGCATAATGTCACAAAATGAATGAACTTTACAGAATAAAAAGTATAGGTTTAAGTAATAAAATAAATTACGGCCGAGTTCCATTTCACTATGTTCAAGCACCGATGAAAAGTTGTTTAAGTAAATCAGTTTGTTTTTTTTGCCATAGAAGAGTTGAAATATGAAATAGTAAATAATGATATGAAATCAGTTGCTTCACCAAAGCAAAGCAGCCACAACTTTCAAAAATCTATATAATAAGATATTCTTATATTCACTAACCAGTATTTCCTTTATCTAAAATAAAGACTGTTAATTGTGAAGTTATACAAACAAACGGACAACACTTGATCTGTGGCTAAGGAGAGCTTGTTAGGTCTTGGTATACTTGAACTGTCAGTTTACAAATAACTTTTTCTTGTAAGGCATGCCTTTCAAGTTTTGGCATTATGCCAAAAAGCATTCAACCCCAATTGAATACATTTTTTTCTCTGAAAAAAAACCCCACTTCCTTCCCTGCAACTGATCCAAGCCATGACTCTTACTTTCTGCCGGTAATGGAACACCCGTGGTTACTTAGCCTGACCTTTTGAGAACAGGTTCTTAGAGCTTTGCTGGTGCACTTACTGAAAACGAGTAGAATGGCTTGTCTCAAAGCTAAGAGTGAATAGAGACCACTCACCTGCTAGACCGTGGAACCACGAACTGTGAAAAAGATTCATATGTCCTCTCCCACTGCAAGTAGCTCCCTCTGTGATCAGAAAGACATTTACAAATGAAGAACCACACATGAGTTTGACCATACAATGAAGGTAGAACTTTGCTAACTGTCATTGTCGGTAGAAAAATCGTTAAAATGTACGTTTTATTGGCTTAACAATGTGATCGCATGATTCCTTCTGATATTATTGCAGATCTACAGTAAGCTAGCTAATTAACCTAGCTTACCTAGTCATTTCAAATATACTGAGAAAACACTTAGAATTATGAGACTAACTCTGCAAGAGTAAACGCTGCGCATGTTTAGTCAAATAGGTGAATATTTTCTAAATCCTACGCATGTGTTGCTAAATTGGTGAATATAATTCTTCATTGCATCGTGTTTGGGATCAAATGTGTTTTTTCATTTGCATTGTTTTTGAAAATGCGGTGCCATTCTCCTTATAAAAGTGTTTTTTCGAGCCCTTGTAAAGTGTTTGCCCATGTTGGCCACTGTATCACCCACCTGGTCACCACTACCAGCAGAGTAGTGAGATGCTCCGAGGTCACAAGGTCTTCCTTCCTCACTATGTCATTCAGACTGCAAGTTTGCAAACTCCCACAGGAAAGATAGACATTCAAGTTGAACATTTAATTGACAATAAAGTGATATAATTCTAACTTAATACGTCACTGAAGCCACTCACTGTAGTTTGTACTCCATGCTTTGAAGGCTCGTTTTCACGCTGCTGTACGCTGCAGCTCGGGATTTTAATTCCGTCTCCATCTGGGAAACTTCCTGACACGCATGCAAGTGTTAACAAGACATGTCAACATCAGAACAACATGTGCTGAGCTCAAAACAAGAAAAATCCATAAGCAAATTAACATTTCTCAAATTTGCTAAATTTGTAAAAGTACCTAAACTCCTTTTTTTTTATACACAATGATTAATTGATGTATCAACTTGGCTTTTAGCAAATGTGCCCACTCACACAAAGGATATTAGGATACAATTCCACAGGAAGTTAGCATTACTGCAGCATATATGCATACAGTCCATCCAAAATGTGTTGCTAAAGCTCAAATGTGTTCAAAATCTCTGTCTAGAGGTAAATATTAGACAGAAAAAAAACGAAAGAGGGGGACTTTCACAAACACATTTTGGATCATGGATGTTCCCATAGGAATGAATGGACATCTGTTTGACTCCCATACATAAACGGAGCATTTCTGTCTGTGTTCATAAATGGAAGGTTCATGGGAATATCCTTCTCCTTTCCATTGGTTAGTACCTTGGTGATGATGTCTGCAAGGCTGGAGAGAGGCAGAGCTGTGGGGTACTTGGCTTTGTCCCACTGAAACTTTGTCATGTAGCTCATCAGGTCCACTGAGAAACACACACACACAAAACAGGTAAGAAAATCACCCGAAAACAACAATCGAACAACTGTAAACACACCACACAGTGGAAAACAAGCTTCATTCACACAAGTCAGTGTCAATACATTACTGTAGAAATGCACACTTTGTATCACACAGCACTGCACTCCAGGCAGATCAAATACCCCTCAGAGAGTTGAGGTAAGCTTTCAGGGGCGACACGGTGGCAGTCTGATTCATGCTGTGGTCTGCTTGAGGAAAGTGATCAGAGACAGGGGTTAGCCTTGTTTGTGATGGGTTGTAGTTGCTTTATCTGTCTGCCTTTATGTAGGACACTAACACATTCCCTCGTTTTCACACAGTTTTGTTTAGTTTCCGTAGTTCCCCAGTGTTCAACACAAGGAAACACAGAGATTTCAATTAAGTTGATTTGTCACTTTTTCACCAACAGAAACAGGACAATTATGTAACATTTATCCAAATAAATCATTGTATATGAATGTTATAATGTAAGGCAAGGCAAGGCAAGTTTATTTATATAGCACTTTTCAACACAAGGCAATTCAAAGTGCTTTACAAAAAATGAAAGAGATTAAGAAAATGGCATTTAAAATCAGTCATTAAAAAGAAAAGCTAATAAATAAACATTAAAGAAAAAATACATGGATAAAAGTTACAGTGCAATTAAACATTAAAAGAAAAAAAAAGTACATGGATAAAAGTTACAGTGCAGTCTAAGATATGAATAGTTCAATTAAAAGCAGCGACAAAAAGAAAAGTCTTCAGCCTGGATTTAAAAGTAGTCAGAGTTGCAGCGGACCTGCAGGTTTCTGGGAGTTTGTTCCAGAGATTTGGAGAATAATAACTGAACGCTGCTTCTCCATGTTTAGTTCTGACTCTGGGGACAGAAAGCTGACCAGTCCCTGAAGACCTGAGAGATCTGGATGGTTCATAATTTAGCAGGAGGTCAGAAATGTATTTTGGGCCTAAACCATTCAGTGCTTTATAAACCAGCAGCAGTATTTTGAAATCTATTCTTTGACACACAGGAAGACAGTGTAAAGACTTCAGAACAGGAGTGATGTGATCCACTTTCTTAGTGTTAGTGAGGACTCGAGCAGCAGCGTTCTGAATTAGCTGCAGCTTTCTAATAGATTTTTTAGTGAGACCTGTGAAGACACCATTGCAGTAGTCGAGTCTACTGAAGATAAAAGCATGGACAAGTTTTTCCAAATCCTGCTGTGACATTAGTCTTTTAATCCTAGATATATTCTTTAGGTGATAGTAGGCTGATTTAGTAACTGTTTTAATGTGACTGTTGAAACTCAGGTCAGAGTCCATGACTACACCTAGATTTCTGGCTTTATCTGTTGTTTTGAACATTGCAGACTGAAGCTCAGCGCTAACTTTTATACGTTCTGACTTGGCTCCAAAAACCATTACCTCAGTTTTATCTTTGTTTAATTGGAGAAAGTTCTGACATATCCAGTCATTGATTTGTTCAATGCACTTACTCAGTGTTTGAATTGGAGCATAGTCTCCTGGTGAAATTGTTACGTAAATGTGTGTGTCATCTGCATAGCTATGGTAACTTATTTTGTTGTTCTTCATTATCTGAGCCAGTGGTAGCATGTAGATGTTAAAGAGAAGAGGCCCCAAGATGGAGCCTTGAGGAACCCCACATGTCATATTTGTCAACTCAGATGTGTATTTACCTATAGAAACAAAGTTGTTTCTGTCCTTTAAGTAGGATTCAAACCAATTTAGAACTGTTTCCGAAAGTCCCACCCAGTTTTCCAGTCGGTCTAGTAATATGCTGTGGTCAACAGTGTCAAACGCAGCACTGAGATCTAATAATACTAACACTGAAGTTCTGCCACTGTCTGTGTTTAAGTGGATGTTATTGAAGACCTTTACAAGAGCAGTCTCAGTGCTGTGGTTTGGACGAAAGCCTGACTGGAACACATCGAAACAGTTATTTAAATGCAAGAAATTACTCAACTGTTGAAAAACAACTTTTTCAATGATTTTACCTAGAAATGGGAGGTTTGATATGGGCCTGTAATTGTTCATTACTGAAGCATCTAGATTATTCTTTTTTAAGAGCGGTTTAATGACTGCAGTTTTCAGGGCCTGTGGAAAAATACCTGAGTGAAGAGATTTGTTTACTATATGAAGTAGATCTGAGGCCATGCAAGGAAAAACATTTTTGAAAAATCCTGTTGGAATAATATCAAGGCAGCAGGAGGAGGATTTCAGAAGTTGAATAATGTCCTCTAGGTTTTTATCATTAATCTGATGGAATTGTGTCATGATGTCTGAATTGGTGTTAAGTGGAGATAGGGACAACACATTTGCTGTTCCTGATGCAGAGGCACTGACTGCTTGTCTGATTTTCTGAATTTTGTCAGTGAAAAAGGAGGCAAAATCATTGCACGCCCTGGTGGATAGAAATTCAGAGGCTACTGACACTGGGGGGTTAGTTAGTCTGTCGACGGTAGCAAACAAGGCACGTGCGTTGTTTTTGTTTTTGGTAATGATGTCAGAGAAGAACGATTGTCATGCGTTTTTCAATTCCAAATTATAAAGGCCAAGTCTCTCTTTATAGATTTCAAAGTGAACCTGGAGATTTGTTTTTCGCCACCTGCGTTCAGCTTTTCGACATTCTCTTTTTTCTGTTTTCACGCTCATGGCCTTTCTCCATGGAGATATTTTCTTGACAGACACTTCCTTTAACCTAGTTGGAGCAATGGCATCTATAACATTTTGAATTTTTGAATTAAAATGATCTACTAGCTCATTTACTGAGATGTTGGCAGGGGCAAGTGTGGAAGAAAAATTCTGAGTAAACATTTCCCTAGTGTTTTCAGTTAAATATCGCTTTGTAGTCTTCCACTTGTATTTACTTCGATTCATATGTAGCTGATAACCATGTAAGAACATTTTACTCAAATTTAGAAATGTGTTTAACTAGCTGAAAAGTTTAACTTTGTTGATAAACATACACAATTTGACAAAAAGCGTAATCAAATAAATGTCACTTTTTGGCTACTTTTACATGAAATTAACATGTTAAACAAATGACCATTTTATGGATTCTTCCTGCATCTGCCACAAAAACCTAATTGAGATACATTTTGGAGAAAAAATAAATAACGCAGCAGAGATCAGGTTTCCATAGTAATGAAAAACTTCCGGTTGACTCCGATGTTCACAGAGATAAGTGGAAACAAGGTGAAAGGGATCTCTGAATGTGTGAGTGGGAGTGGATGTCATGTGTAGACATGCATATGGAGCTTGGTTTAAGTAGTTATATGTCTCATCTGCAGTGTGCATGTAGCCTGCTGGCTTCTAAGCACTTACTTATGAGTTCCTACTATGTAATAAACACCCTATGCATGTTGAGTGTGTGTGTTTGTGTGTGAATCACCTCCATTGGCTAAGGCGTTTTCCAGCACTTTGTCATCAGACTGCTCCATCACCTCCCTCATACACTGATGTGTTTTTTTAATCACACTGACCGGGCAACAGAAAAACACAACATTAAATAAAGACTTGTTTGGTCATGTTTCGTTAAATGTTGCTCATTCGGTTCAAATTTGGGAAATACATTTTTTCCAAATGCTGTTAATGACGTCTACAAAGTACTATACATGTCTAACAAGGGTTTTCCTATCCTAGGTAAGATCTATAAAGAGAGATGTAAAAAAAACTAAGGGATAATAAATAAAATACCAGACTAAATTACAAGTAGAAATCTGTGTCGTTTGAACTTGCCAGGCCAAATTTGTACGTTCATTATTGGCTATACTGGCTCTCATCCACCAACAATGAATTTTTAAAATCAGGAGGGAAACTGACCATCAGCATGCCCCTGACCATCAATGAATCATGGCGCAAACCGCACACAAGCTCAGAGTTACACCACGTCTTAACTAAAGACACATGAAGCTACAAACGTGCACGTGACCATGGAAGCAAACAGGTTTCGTGTGAATAGACATATTCTGTTTGTTTAAGCATGCTTGGAATTTTCTTTTTACCTTTCAGTTAGTGTGTCAAGCTTGGAGAGGTCATCTGATACGCTGAGCAGACTGTCCAGTATTCCCACCTGGTCACAGCATAGACAGAACAGTCAGTTTTACCGTGGCTCAAACAGTTTGGCATGTATAATGACTTATGAACATGCTGGCTTTTGAGGCGAGCCCCCCCCCCCCCCTGAGGCGAGCCCCCCTCTGAGGGTATTGGCTTTAATAACATGTCTTCCATCAGACTATAAAAATACTTTGTACTACACTTTGCAAATGTTCTCCTAAATGTACCAGCTAGCATGGGATAATGCGTTATTTGTACATTTAAACCAGTGGTCCCCAAACTAAGGCCCGCGGGCCGGGTACGGCCCGCCTCCACATTTGGCCCGGCCCCCTGAACAATACCAGAGACGCATTATGATTTTTTTATTTATTTATTTATTTATTTTTTTCAGTCTGGCCACGCAAATCCTAGACTAGCCCCTGTCAAAATGTTGTGACCTGCTCTATCGAAATCAGTCGCATTGACCCGAAGACACCTTTTGAGTTGTATACACAGTTGGAAAGAGGAGATTCCTAGCTTTCTAATGATATCAGGATTGTTTTTGTACTTCAAATATTAAGCGAAATATGTCACATTATATAATGACTGTCACCGAGTCATCATTTTGAGAAAAAGGCCTTCAAAGTTGTCTCTTCTCTGGAATCCATCGATCTGATTGATTATTAGCGGAGCAAATGATCAAAATACTACCGAGGGAAGATATTTTCGTTTGGAGGGGAAGCTCGCGAGTGTGTGCGTGTATACGTGTGTGTGTGAGTGTGTGTGCTTGTGTAATTTTGTGTTTGTGTGTATTGTGTTTGTTTCCCGGGGAAAACACTCACGAGAAACACCGGCGCTGCGGAAGAGCAGATTGCTATGACTATGCTTGCACGTCATGGTACCATAGCACCTCCAAGGCGCTAAAAATAAAACTTCAAACATCGCAAAATAAACTGGTCAGACTACTGCTTGACCTTTCATCTAGAACCCACCTCACCTCTGCCCACTTTGACAACCTAGGATGGCTTAGAGTAGACGACAGAGTACAGCTACTTGCAATGGGCCTGGTCTACAAGATACACCACACCTCTATGGTGGTACCCATGTACATGTCAAAATTCTTCCCAAAGGTCAAGGAATACCATGATCATAACACCAGAGGGAGCTCCACAAATCATGTCAAACCCAGATTTGGCACAAAAAAGGGGGAATACACGTTTCGCAATTATGCCACATCAAGGTGGAACGCTCTTCCCACAACTGTAAAGGAAAGTAAAACTATACTTACCTTCAAAACCTCTCTTAAAGAGCACCTTCGGGGGAGAGCATTGCAAAACTGGCCCCGGTAATGGTACAAATCTCAACCTGTCGTTCAATGGACAGCTTCCCCCCCCCCCCCCCATCTATGTATATACTCGCATTTTAGACTCTGTTACTAACTGTATATCTGTAGACTTGGTATGTCTTAAATGTCCGGTTAGGATGTATTAGAACGAAATCTAAAATGAAAATTGTAAACAAGCAATCTGTATGTAAAAAAACCACCTGTATGTAAATTGTAAATAAGCCATCTGTATGTCAAATATGTCTTATATGTCTTAAATGACATGATGAATTGGAAATGGGGGACCCTGATGTAAACAAGACGAAAGTCTTTCTCTGGTCTGCATCCCCTTAACAATTGTATGTTTTGAGCTGTACTGTACTGTACCCAATATACAAGCTGTTAATAAACTTTTCAATCAATCAATCAATTGCGAGTGAGAAATAAATAAATTGGAAATAAAAGTTTCATATTCTGAAAGCCAAGACTTTGTTTGTTTAAAATCAAACAAAACACCCGAACCCCGAAAAAATAGTTTTTTTTACGTAAATCCACGTTTATTTTGAGAGATTCTGCTCTGACAACTAAGCTAAACTTTTACCTGTTAAGATTGTGCACGGCACAACAGAAAGTTACAGTAATTTTCAATGGACTTTTTTTCTGTGAAGAACCCAGAGAGGGTTATTTGGTTATTATTTATTTCATAAATAGTGTTATTTATTTCATTAATAGTGTTATTATTTATTTCCTGACTTTTTTTCTGTGAAGATCCCGGAAAGGGTTATTAATATTTGGTTATGTGTGGCTTTCTAGAAAACAATAAATGTTTACGTTTAGACACCCATGCGATCGTCACACTTTTTCTGTTACAAACTGACCCGGCCCCCATCAGAGAAGGGAAAAGTTATGTAGCCCTCACAGGAAAAAGTTTGGGGACCCCTGATTTAAACTAATGATGAGTAATAGAAAAAATCATTGAATTAATTTTAGTAATCAACTGAGGAATTTTCATGGTGATATTTATTAGTTAGTTAGTTTTAAGTATCAGGGCCTTGTAGTATATTTTTTATTTTAAAACACATATTATGCTTAAAAGCCGACCTTTATAAACATGATTTTTCTTCTTGTGCTGTGCACCAGAAATCTACACTTCATATCTATATTCCGAGGGTTTCTGCAGATTTTATTTTATTCATTTCTGATTCATGGAGTGTTAAAAACAAGAATCCAAACGACCTGAGTAAAACCTTCGACTGTCAACAAAATAAAACCACTTTGCTTTATCCAATTTTTGGACATATTTCAAAAGATAAAGCGTCATTTGCATATTTAATCTTAGATTATCAGAAAACTTGTAAAATAATGTCCTCAATGTTAGTAATTTACTGGGGTTATGGTGATATCTCTTAGTTTTTTCTTTCTATCTTGTTCACCTGGGGTGTCTCCACTTAAGATTCAGCCAGGAGATGGGCACGTATAATTGTATTAATGCTTTTCAGGTTAGAACTCTTGATAGAAATTCAAAACTGCAGTTACAATATGACTTCTGGTAGCCAAGGTGAACATGGATGACATTAAGTGAATTGGGTCGGATGGAAATGTTGCCTCAAACTGTAGAGAGCAACCTGAGCCTTTAACCCTTCACCAGAGAAGGACACCAAACACCGTCATCCTCCTCACCGCACTCTACTGTACTGGGATAAACACAGAGCTAACATACAGTTATTTTTATTTGTTTAACAATGCTATACTTACACTCCCTTAGCTTGTCATAATGTTTGTATTTGATGTTGTTTCATTAGGAGAGACGATACACAGCCTCACCTTGAGTTCTGGAATGGAGAACCTGCAGCAGGAGGCCAGGTTGGTTTTGGCAAGGTTGCGCTTCAATTTCTCCACACTGGTTAAACTGGTCTTGTCCAAAGGGACCGAAATCAGCCAAAAGTCTGTCATGACTCCCAGTGTGTCACATAGAGACCTCCAGTCCAAATCCTCCAAAAATAGGCGTTGGCACCAAAAACACTGTGACCCAGGGCAAAACACAAAGAATGAGAGGAACTCCATCATAGAGACATTTATAGGCTTTCATACTAAGCTGACTTCTTAAAATCATATTTCCGTGATATAATTATTATTCTGTTTTCATTATTCGTTGAGTAATCTTGGATTATATCAACAAGTTTCCTTTGTTATTATGGCTACTAATAAAATAAACTACTAAATAGAATAGAACATTTCAAAGCAATGTTTCTTACCGTCAGGTTACCTTCATGACAGTGCTGTGTCAGTCCAACTGTGAGTGTAGGAAAGTCTGAGCAGCAGCTCCACCTGAGACTCACTGACATCCAGCCAGCCCACAAGAGGCTGTGACATCACTCTAGGTACAGCTGTCACTCTTCATGGACTCTTGGAAAAAAATATATTTCTTTTTATACATATACAGTATGTATACATGTGTGCTGTGGTTTTTGTAATAAACATGTACCACATGGGATTTGCATTTATGTATGGGAACAATATAAATAGAAAAGCCCTAGCCTGTAGCCAAAATACAACATTGTGTTTAAAAAATACAATATGGAGCTGTGTGTGGCATATATATATATATTAGCGCAGTTTAGGTTACCTTTCTTCGTATGTATTTCTGGTTTTACCACAGGTGTCGGCTTAAAAACTATTGTAATGTCATCCTTATTAATAAATAATAAATAAAAGCAGATAAATACATGTTTATTTTTATTTCATTTGAAACAGTGACAGCTAGCTAACCAACCTTATGTCTAGATAAATGTTATGCTAAACAAGTGTGCAACATAAAGATACTCCTTTTGTGGAGTTGCAGACATTTTATAAATAATATTTGTAAACTGAGTCCCTACATTCTTGTATGGATATCATTTTGTATTATTTATTTTATCATAAGGAATTTTAATTGAATACTTGAATGCGCCATAGTGTGTATGAAATAGTTTCGCACACAAGAAAACATCAAATAGAATGGTGACTTTTAGGGCTGGATGCTACTAAAGAATTAACGTGAATTCACAAGATTTCAAATATACCAATTTTGGATTTTAATCCAAAGACTCCATTATTTTTGTATTTATTATTTAAACCCAGACTAGTTTGGAGAGGAGAGGGACCATGCTCAGTCACAGTAGTTTCTAGTCGGACCTATTTCGGAAAACTCACCCTCGCTTCCTGTTTTTGCCCCGGCCGCAGCAACAACGTGGATTCAATGCTGCTTGCCGGTGTGCAGTAACAGTGTTATGTGTGACCAGAGTCTTATTCACTTTCTACAATGCAGATATCTAGTGTGAATGACGTGAAGATTTATAATTTAAGTCATGGAAAATCTCTGCCTGAGGTAAGAAGCACGAAACGCTCGAGCGCACTTAGAGGGATGAAGTTACTGCTTGGCGTTCAATTCAGGAGCTAACTGTTAGCTAACACAGGTAGCCCTGACAACTGTAGCTCTGACAATGTGCATGGACAACGTTTCACTAACGAACAATATTCAAGAAAACACTCACTTGATATAATGTGTCATATAAATAAACTGACATTTCTTGCTTTATAAAGAAAAAAAACATTTGGGAGCACTCATTTTAATTTTCATATCCCACAATGCACAGCTCATTTCAGTAAATGCTCTAACAGTGATATAGACTTAAATTAACCCAGAAGAGAGTAATAAAAAACATAGTTATAAGGTTTGAAAGCTGAAATAAAACCGGAAGAAATTCATATGAAACATAGCTATAAAGTTTGAGCTATACGTGTTCCTGTAAGTATTGTTTTATTGGTTATTTGTATGACAATTCCTAATCACATGTACCTTTTTAATGCAGTGGCTGTCAGATCGGAAGAAAAGGCAGTTACAGAAGAAAGATGTTGGTGAGTTGACCCATTCAATTTAATTATTACAGACAGGTTAATTGTATGTCTTTATTCCAACTAATGTAAGAATAATCTTATTTTTTCCAGACATTCAGCGCAGGATTGAGCTCATCCAGGACTTTGAGATGCCCACAGTGTGCACCTCCATCAAAGTGTCCAGGGATGGGCAGTTCATCCTGGCAACAGGTAAGACAAAGTGTGGACTCTAAAGTTAATGTCATGATAACATGTCATGGTGGATACGAAATAAAAAATAAACACATCTGTTTTCCTTTACTTTTAGGTACTTACAAACCCAGGATTCGCTGCTATGACACATACCAGCTGTCCCTAAAGTTTGAGCGCTGTCTGGATTCAGATGGTAAGTCAGTGGACACACCTTCTTGATTTAAGGCATTCATGTCATCTCCGTCTTAATTAATTAACTTCTTTCTCTGTTTCTCACAGTTGTGGCTTTTGACATCCTGTCTGATGACTACTCAAAGGTAAGACACTCCCCCAACGCTTTATAGACGCTGTTGTAAACGTTTCATTTTATGCATGTTTTGTGTCATGTATCATTGTCATTGTTTATGGTTTGTAAATGCATAACATTGTCTTGTGTGAGGTTATCAGAAACTAGTATTCACGCCATGGCTTGAAATTGCCAACCACTTGTTAAACATTTTATTTGATGCTTAATAAGCTAAGATAATTAGGGGAAATATATACAGCTCTGGAAAAAATAAGAGACCACTCTCATCTCTGCATGTATGGCAGCCATTCCATTCCAATGTCTGTTGAATTCCCACACAGAGAAATGTTGTCAGTATTTTATGAATACAATATAAAAAAAAATCCACTCCAACACACAGCTAGAAATAGTAAAAGCAGAGAAACTAATAATTTTGCAGTGGGCTCTTAAAGGTGGGGTAGGTAATTTTGGAGGAACCAGCTCGAGATCGCTAGAATTTGAAATTACACTACCGGAAAAAATCTGCCACTTCCTTACGGAGCCCCTCCTCCAACACACACGAACGCGCACATGACCAATGAGGGCACGAGATAAGTTTGTGCACAGATAGAAGGCTGACAGGCAGGTAGGCCATCCAGTTACTTTAGCCGGGCCGGCTCAGATGATTGGTTGTGCTTTTTACAGTAGTACGGCTTCCACAGATGACATTTTTGTATGGATTTTTTGTCAAAGCACTTCAGATATTCATTGCTATCGGGATGTTAAGAGCATTCCATGGAATATAACAAAAAGTGTATCTCGAGCCGGTTTCTCAAACTTACCTACCCCACCTTTAATTTTCTCCGGAGCTGTATATAATTTCCCAGCATCACTCATTTTCAAAAATGTGTCTGATCAAATGTAAAGGGATTTGCTGACATATTCTTACATGAGGGGGTATTTAAGGAAACATTTGTTATATCTCTGTGGTAAACAGCTGGTTATGGTTTGTATACCCTGCCTAACCTTTCTTTTGAAATGAAAATGCAATTAATAATTCTGTATTTTTGACACTTCTACCTTTTAATTTCCTACCTGTTTTCCGTACAGTTAGTGTTTTTGCACTGCGACCGCTTCGTAGAGTTCCACTCGCAGCATGGAAGCTACTACAAGACACGTATTCCAAAGTTTGGACGGGACTTCTCTTACCACTACCCCTCCTGTGACCTCTTCTTTGTGGGGACGAGGTGAGAGAGAGTTGTTGACTGTTCATACAGCTGCATAAGTTCTGTGGCGTGAGATACGCAGTATTCTACTCCTGGCATGTTTTTGTATTCCTCCTGTGCGTGCCAGAGAAATAAGCTGTTTTGGTGATACTGCTAATGTTTTTTGTTTTTGTATTTGTTCCTCTTCAGTTCTGAGGTGTTCAGACTGAATTTGGAACAAGGGCGCTTCCTTAACTCACTTCAGACCGATGCTGTGTGAGTATAACAATGTTGTTTACATGTGCATGATTCAATAACACTTGCAGATCTCATAAACCCTTAAATGTTTTCGTAATGTGTTTATCTAATAAGAAGCCTGACCTTGACTACACTGACTGTTCTCAGCACAAAGTTTGTCACCAGAGAGGTGTTTTCACATTCCTCTTATACTGAGGGAGCAGATGTCTGTGCACTTCTCTAAAATAATCATACTCAGTGTTCAGTTTTTGATGTGCAGTTATTGTATATTTAACATTGCCTTCTCAGGAACTGCCAGTTACAAAATTGCTCACCAAAGAAAAGCTAACTACCCTTACTATTCTGTCGTAACGACTAGTCACAGATTTTGGTGCCAAACAGACTCCTCATCAGAGTCAATCACGTACAGCTGAATGTCTCTGATGTTTCCTCTCACACAAGGAAATAACGGCTGCTGAAACTCATTGTGAGCGACATCAGATGCAGGATTTCTAAATGAGATATAAAAAAAAACATTTAACATATTTTTAAATGTATTCCAGATGGTGGGCTTTAACTCTAGTTGTATCCAGAGGAAAACATGTGTGATCTGTTATTAACTGACTAGCACTTAGGTGATTGCTGTCAGCTGATGTTCATGTTGCCTGTTTTTCTGGACTTCTCAGGGAAAACAACGTGTGTGACATCAACCCTGTCCATCATTTGTTCGCCACAGGATCCTCTGAGGTAAGCACCATAGCAAGCAGTTTGGGAATGAGCCACCGGTTACTAGCAGAAACAAGTAGAACTGTGCGTGTGTGGCCGTGCATTGATTGCTTATAGCAGGGGTGCCCAACCTTTTTTGAACCGAGAGCTACTTTTAAAGTTGCCAGTCTGCCGAGATCTACCAGTCCAAATAGAGAGGCGTAGCCATTACTGACAGCCTACTACCAGGTAAATACACACTTCTACTTGTATAAAACTGACCTTTGTATGATTAATACTCCATAAAATACTGCAGATCCTTTATCTTACCTGCTCTTTCTAATCTACACACATACAAGTATTTAACTGAAGTTACACAACAGTGTTGTTGATACAGAGTTGGAGTTTATTCACACGTCACACTACAGTGGGTAATGTTTTCAAGAAACATTGAACAGTGCTGCCACATATGACACAGGAAAAAAAGAAAAGACTCTGAACCCTTTCTTTGCCATTATATAAAAATAGTGTTGCTACAAAAGTATAAATTAGGCTTACTAATAAGACAACTCAGATCTGAAGCTACTCAGGAATCTGCTGCCAAAGTGCAATAAAAAAGACAAAATTAATAGAATCAAACCCTTTTTTTGTTGCATTTTAGTAGAGTATAAAAAGAAATGCCTTTTAAAATAGGATGCAAGCAACACTAGTTTCTTAACCTGAATTGATAATAGACTATAATCAATTTAAGTTTGCATTCTTATACCATTTTGTACAATAATTATAATGAATAAGTTCAAACAAACTAAAACTTACAGCTGATTAATAACGGTA